ATGGAAGGCAACAACTTTATTTATTTATAGACTGTAATATCTTTTAGTGGATTACTAAGAAAACCATTCTCATGTGGTAATTTATTTCTACAGAAGTTGGCAGTAGCGAAAATTCATTATGAAAATGTAAATCCTTTTCCTTCATGTTGTACAGAATAACAATAATGTAATTAATTAGTTAGTTTATTTATTATTGCTTCATTAATTACCTAATGGCTTCATAAAAATGACCAAAAAAAAACGAAGAATTTCAATTAATTTATGATAAAAACTGATTTAATGAGAAATCTCAAACTGTTTTACGACGTGTTTCTCACTTCTGGTAATTATTTCTGATTAAATCTTAAACGTATTTTTTTATGTAATTAAGTGATTATATTGCGTTAAGATTCTCAATCCGTCATAAAAAAGATTAGCCAATAAAATAAACTGCTATATTTTTTGCTATTTTATTATAGACGGATTTAATTAATTATTTATTGTAAATTCGTTCTAAAACTGACTGACTTTTTTGCACTGACCAATCCAAAAAGTAATAACTTAAGCAAGAAGACTATATATGGATAACACCATTATGAATTACTCATCTGTGTTAACACCTTTTTGCGTGTTATATGTGTTCGAAAACAATGACACTTTAATGGCACCTCAATGGTCCAACACTGTGTGATGCACTGTCTCATCATTCGAATGATTACACTAATGACCGACGAGAAGCAAGCCCCTCTTTTCCATTGGGCACTTTGGGCAAGTGCCCAGGGCCCCACGATCAACAGAGGCCCCCCTATATAGTTCCTGCCAGATCCATCCGCCAGCCAAAAGCCGATATTTATTTTAAGAAAATTAATTAATAATTGATGTTAGAATATTTACTTGCATAATAGCTTTTGCGAAACATGGACAGTGGGAGCGGCGGAAAAGAAAAGGTTAGAAGCGTTTGAAATGTGGTGTTATATGCGGATGATGAGGTTTTCGTGGGTAGAAAAGGTTAGGAATGAAGAGGTATAGGAAAGAATAGGAGAACAGAGGACTCTATGGAAGACAATAAAAAATAGGCGAGATAGGTTGATAGGACACCTTCTCAGGCATGAAGGTCTAGCCAGAGACATATTAGAGGCAGAGACAGGAGTTAGGAGGGGTAGAGGTAGATTAGATTACTCTTCGCAAATAGTTAAGGATGTGGGCTGTTCTAGTTTTAGGGAAATGCGAAGTTTAGCTCAGGATAGGAAAGAGTAGAGGTACGTGTCCAACCAGTCTTAGGACTGATGACCTTATGATGATGATGAATCGTTTTTGCATGCTATAAACGCGAGCATACCTAAATGTAAGTGATTCTTCAAACATTTATATATTTTGAAATTTTATTACTTTGAATTGCTCTCCAATGAGCAAAATAAAGAATCTGACTACTAGGACTTGTCTCAAAGAATAAGACTTAGAAGTTCGCGCCAGACATTTTTTGATGACTCTGCACCGATAGTCCAACTGAGTTGGGAAGAGATATTAAAGTAGAAATACCTTACTTCCCATAAGTGATATCCCAAGCGTGCATCTAAACAGCGATTGAGTTTGTACAAGGACATTGGTTATTGTTGACATTATTTTTCGCTTGAAAACTCCAAATCCCGGGACAATGTTGCAAACAATTTGCTGCTATGAAGATGTTAACGAGAAAGAGTTAGAAATAGAATGTCTGTATTTAGCAAACTAATAGTATTCCAGAAGTTTTGATAAAAAACCGAGTTGGAAACACATTTCCAAATGTAGAAATTATATCGAGAATCTTTTTAAACATGATGGTAACTAACTGTAGTGGCGAACGCTCCTTCTTTAAACGAAAAAGAATAAAAAATTCAAGAAAGATTGATCAGTCCATAGAATGGGATATACTCAAAGACAAAGAGTTTGAACAACTGGTTGACGATTTTGCATATCTGAAAACTAGAAGGGTGTCTTTTCAAAAAACTCAATTTTAAGCACCAACCTGAGAATGATACAGTTACTTTTCAGTCATATTACAATTTTCTATTCATTTATTGTTAATATAAAGAAACAAATAATTGTTGATAAACTAAAATAATTCTCCGTTAAATCTGTAGGGGACCCGATAAGGCTTATGTGGCCAGGGCCTAGAATAGGTTAAAGACGGCCCTGACGAGAAGATCGACTACGACGTTTGATACAATTTATCAGCATTGGGCGTTTATTCATTTATTTATAAGTGAGAAACATAAATTGGTAAAGGCTTATTTCGCGGCTAGTAAGTGAACTGATACTAATAATGCCAGGTATCCGGTAGGTTAGGTTAGGTTAGACCCCAGTATCCGGCAAAATCACAATCCGGTGCATCTGTATTTTCAAATATATCTTTCTGAAAATATCACCTTCCTTGAAAACTGTTCTAAACCAACTGAATTCTCAAAATCTTTTGAAGAAAGCGTTAACACTTATTTAAATTACATTTATTTCGTATTTATAAAAAAAAAATGGTTCGGTTACTAGGAGAAATTCAATCTCCATTTATTTCAAAGCTGTTAGCTGAATATCTCATGATTTTATAGACGCTAATTGATCAAGTCAAGACTAAAATATAGTAAGTACCTACGATTACACCATAATTTATTGCACGTAAGGCTGTAATAAATTTTAGAATAATGTGAGGCGTCACTTAAGCCAATAGACGTTTATCTCGCACGCGTTCTCATACTCCCTACCGCAACAAATGCATGTGCCATCGGTAAGAGGAGTGTTCTGTTGCTATTTCAACCCACATACTGACACACTGGTAATATACATAAGTACCTACCCCAGTGGCAATGACACATTGTGGGCGAAACTAATTTACTGTGTCAAGGCATAAATTGTGAAGAAACGATCTGTTGACACTAGAGATGCACCGGAGAGTAATTTTGCCGAGTAGGTATCGGATAACCGGGAACCCTGCATTAGCTGTACCGTGCTAACAGTACACACAGTCAGACCCCCAGGCCGAAGATTTGGTAATTATCCAGAATTGAGGCTCCAGACAAAATCTTTCCAAAAATTTTTTTATCCATTTCCGGTCATTTACATAATATTTATTAGATATTAGAAGGTGGGGGAGACAGTTTTTTGACTTCACAAATAAAAAAAAATTTTTTGAATGATAATTTTTAAAAATTTAAATAAATCACAGTTCTAAACTGTAGGTACGGGAAGAGATAATTGAGAAGTTCCGGAGCGGAATGCCGCATAAAATTCTTTAATTACCTATAATTTATTGGGAAATGCAAAGATAGGAGACGAAAAATTAAAAGAAGTGACTGATTTTAGGTATCTAGGAAGTCAGATAAGTCAGGGCGGAAGGAGTACTTGGGATATAAAGCATGGATAGCGCAGGGTCGTGTCGCCTTTAATAAAAAGAAGTCACTTCTATGCTCGCGAACGGTTAATTTAGAAATTCGGAAAAGATTGTTAAAGGTGTAGATCAGGGATGTAACGGAGGTAGTTTTATCGGAACCGAAGCCGGAGTCGGAGGCAGGGTCAGAAGTGGTGGCATGAGAGAGAATTTTTATTTAAGGACAAATAAAACATTAGTTAGACAATTTTTTTTCATTTCAATTTTCAATTATAAAATAAAACACAAACAATAAAAAAATAATTGACGATAGAGTGCTCAGTGTACGTGGGAGTCGGGTGGATTCCCCGCGCGACATGTATGAAGTTCATATTATGAACCTGTTCATAACAGTCGACACAGGCCGCCGCGGCGGCGCTATGTTATGCTTCGACCTCCGATTAAAACCTTCGATTTAAAAGTGTCGGAGCCGAAGTCGGAACTGAAGGTGTAATAATAATCGGAAGTTCCGACTTAACGGAACCGGAGTCGAAGCTCCGTAACATCCCTGGGTATATATATTTGGAGTGTGGCGCCGTACGAGCGCGTAACATGGACAGTGGACGCGACGGAAAAGAAATGGTTGGAAGCGTTCAAATGTGGTGTTGTCGGCGAATGATGAGAATACCGTGAATAAAGAAGGTAGGAAATGAAGAGATATTAGAAAGAATAGGTGAACGGAGGATTCTAAGTCAATAAGAAATAGGCAAGAAAGGTTAGTAGGATACCTTCTTAGACATGAAGGTCTAACCAGAGACATATTAGAGGTCGAAACGGGAATTAGGAGGCGTAGAGGAAGACCTAGATTAGATTACTGTTCGCAAATAGTTAAGGATGTGGGCTGTTCTAGTTTTAGGGAAATGCGAAGGTTAGCTCAGGATAGGAAAGAGTGGAGATACGTGTCCAACTAGTCTTATGATGAATATTAAAAGAAGAAATAGCTATACATACACCATATATCCCATGATGTATGCTGTAATAAAAAAAAATGTGTCTCCCCTGCCTCAAATATTATCATTGAACCCTTAGAAATTACCAGAAATCGATGAAAAAATTTTTGGAGCGATTTTGGTCTGGAGTCCCAATTCTAGGAATTGTACGAAATTCCAATATTGTAGGTACTAGAAAATGTATAAAAGTAATTCTGTGAACAAAATACATTATCAGCCCGCCTCAGGCGGGCAGGGGTATTACCTGAACTCTNATTCACTGCATAAAATTCTTTTATTAATATTAAAAGAAAAAATACCTATACATACACCATATAGATACCCTATGATGTATGCTATAATAAAAAAAAAAGTGTCTTCCCCGCCTCAAATATAAACATAACCACTGAACCCTCACGAATGATCGGATATCGGTGAAAAAATTTTTGGAGCGATTTTGGTCTAGAGCCCCAATTCTGGACAATTACCGAAGATTTTTTGGTGTTACTGTGTTCATGTTCATAATTTTGAGTAGCTTCAATAGTTTAATTGTTTCAGGGTATCATACGTTATGAGAGACGAGGTGAATTTTATAGAATTACATCCACCATATTTTATTAATATGCATACAAAACGGCACAAATTTGCATTAGAAATAAATAAACAAAAATATGTTGATTGAGGAATTATCTTACCTTCTGGCCAGTTATCGAAAACATACTGTGCGATGTCTCCCGCCGAATCGCTGGGGCTGAAGAGGAACTCTTTTGTTTTACCACTGACAAGAATTAAACGAAGATTAATCTGAAAAGAACAACCGTAAATCACCATGATGTTAGACGAAGGTCCCTTACACTTAATTTGTGAACGAACACAATAGAAAAATTGTCGGGAAATAACAATAACCGACCGAACTTGTTGTACAATGTTTTCGTGCAAAGCAATGGGTTAACATATAAACTATAAACGAACAACGTGAACAACCAACAACACCATCAACTAAATAAACAAACGGATGTAATAAGAACGTTGCGTTATGTAATATAAGAAACAAACTATAAGCTGTTTATTTATCTTGAACGAGTGCAGCTTCATTACCGCTGTTTGTTTTAATGTTACTGTAAAAGACAAACAAATAATGTTGTACAACATAACCAAAACGTTTTAATTTGCGAATAGGAGTTTAGATACAAGATGTGCAATAAATAAAATGAAGAAATCATTAAAAATATAATAAAACTCCTTTCCAAAGAAATTAATCAATTATTTATCATACATACAATTTAGACATCTTTTAGAAGTAAGTTAGTTTAATATGAAATATTATTCTGAAAATTTGTTAATGAATTTTTTATCCACTACACACTACCTCAAATTAATGAGGGAAAAATTGTTGCTGTTGTCACACCCCCGCCGGGAATCGAACCCGGGATCTTTGGCTTAACGCTCCAATGTTCTACCACTAGTGCAACAATTTTTCCCTCATTAATTTGAGGTAGTGTGTAGTGGGTAAAAAATTCATTAATGAATATTCAGAATAATATTTCAAATTATTTATCATTTCATTCTTAAATCAATAATTTGGTAAAACATTTTGTTTTTATAATTTAGAAAACATAATAATGAAAACGTTATTTGTGAAAATTTCACAAGAATATGAGTACTTAAAATGATTCAAAAAATCGTTAGAGTAATTTTGCAAGCTCGAGTTCCCTCCCTATCAATGGCTTTTGAATTCAGACCATAATATAGACCCTCACATATACGAGGGGTGCCTAGTCACCCCTTTAATGCTCCGGTACATAATCCTTGTCATTAAAACGGTGGAAATCAAAACTAATTTTTCTTGTTTATTCCCTTATGACAAGGACATTTAAAGTTCGTTAATCTGGAAATTATTCAAACAACAACCGTTATTAATAATGGATGAAGAATTAAATACGTATACAGTGGAATATTTTCTTGTCATTTTTACAACTAAATTGGTCGAACATTCTAATGCCCTACACCCACATCCTCTACAAATTACACCGAGGGGTGAAATCGCGCTTTCATAAATGAGTACGGGTTACACACCAATTAAACTGCGCCTACGGCTAACTCAGTGTCTCCTTTATAAAAACTAAGAAAACATTACAGAGGGTGCTTCAAAATTACCGTTTAAAAATTAAATAAAGGGTAATTGGAAAATATTCGGGTTTATTACTAATTGAGGGACTGAGAAAACTGAACTGCAATTGTTATAGTTAAAACTAGGAATCGTTGTTATAAAAAATTTCTGTGATTACTAAAGGTATGGATAATACAAATTCCATGTATTAAGTATTAAAGCTGGTGGGCGAGCAGTCAGTTCGACCTTCGACCTACACTGTATTACAAAGCCGAAAGATAGAAAATGTCCTTCCGATTGGTTAACTATGATCTAAACCTACAATAGAGCAGTGGTCTTCAAAATTAGTCTAAGGGTCACGCTGGTTCCTCTACTACAAATTAGCTGATATCTAAGCATTTGAAGTTCCACTGGTAGTTTCCACTAGTACCTACACTTGTCACTATTTTAACATGAGTGATTAGGGAAAATCTCCCATCATAAATTCAGTTTCATTACCTATGTATGTATCTTACAATGTAATAAAAATGTGTTGAATTCCTAAAAATTGAGTTTGAAGACTGTTACACTGCTAACGTTGATTTGGCGGAATGTCGAAGTCTGATACATAGTTCGTGTTTCCGGTACTACACTGATGTGTAACTAGGCAAGAGACGGGGTAACTATCCGGCAGCTTCTAAAGACATCTTGGGAAATGGGAGAAACGTTTTGAAGGAGGCTCGTAAGTGATACGAATGTCTCGGTAAGGAATCATTCCAAAATAATAGTAACAGTCGATGGGTATGAGTTTGGGGTGAATGTGACTATTTTCGTTTTCCGACAAGTTGGCAGTTTAGCAAGAGCATCCATGAGTGGAAGCTACTCTTCGGGTATCACTTCTATAATTGTTTCTTTTGTATCACCTCAGCTCATCAGTCAAGATCGGAAAAGTCCAGAAAACATGCCACGTGACCAAGGATGAGGCCTCGGCGACCAGCATTCTGAGGTGGTACCAGAATTTTAGAACTTTCAGTTTAACACCGAGGTTTTTTTTGCTGCTTTTTCCGAGTATGTTTTAGGTTTCTCCCGAAAACGTATAATAACAACATTACAACAAAAAATTATCCTTTTTATAAGGATTCCTTTTTACCTTTTGAGGTATGGAACCCTAAAAATGAGTATTTATTGAAAACAAACGAAAAAGGAATCGCCTCATATAAATTGTATTATTCCGATTTCCAGTAACTAGAAAAAATCGTTTTGTAATAACAATTGTAAATATTCCAACCCCTACAAAACTGGACTTATTTTGAAAAAGAAATCTCTACTCGTTTGTATCCATCAATCAAATTTAGCGATGAGGTGAAATTCAATTAAAACGATAAAACGAAATAAATTGTAAGGCTGAAATTGTATGTGCCCGAATTTTCCTTGTAAACACGAGCAGTTAGTGCTTTGGAAATTCTACGATAACAGCAATCAATCATTTTCGAAAGTGAATCTAATTCGTGGCTCCCCTTGATACGCGGGTAATTGATTCACAAAAGGATCGAATGTAAAATGTAAATAAAAAACCTGGCAACCCCGATTTACGACTTTTTTATCGAAACTTCACCCTTGAAGCTAAAAAAATGTCGTAACCTCCTTTGTTACAGGGACATAAAATGACGTCATAAAAAAAAAACGCAGAAACTTGACTTATTAAAAAGAAAAACTTTTTCAATGAAAAGCCATGAGAAGCGTTTTATTGCAAGTTTTATTTTCGTATATCAGTACTTCGTTCCGACGGGTAACCTTCTTTAACCGAATGTACACGCTTTATAACACCGAATGACGTAAATTATTATAAAGAGAAAATCAGAGACTCCTAATGCATCTCTACACAAGTCTAAATCAACGATTTTACTCAAAATATTCGGGTATTTTAGCGGAAGTAATCGCTATTGCTTGTTGTGTCCGGGAAATACTTGCTGATAACAACACCGCGCGCATATGCATATGGACTGACTGTAAAAGTGCTCCATTAGAGGCCCCCCAGAGGGTATTCAACAATGTCGAAACTACCTACAACTATAGACTCGAAACAAAGTGGTTCTTGTTCTGGGTCTCGGGTCAGAGCGCAACGGCATAAAAAGAAACGAACTTGCAGTTGACTTTGCTAAAGCAGGTGCCTAAAAACATCATCATCGACCCAAGTGGACATCCTGGTCAAGCAAGAAATTGAGATAGCCTGCTTCAGAACTCTACAGGGATTGGGGAACACAACAAGGATGTAAGCAGGCAAAGAAAGGCCTTTATCTCTCCTAGAAACTGCAGGGACAGGAAAAAAGTCAAGACTCTAGTGAAATCCTTACAGGCAACGCAGAACTGTGCTACCACAGTAACAAACTGGGAATAAGCGCCACTTATCCCTATTGCTTTCGTGAGGAGGAGGTGGAAAGTGGTATCCACATCCTTTGACACTGTCCTGCTCTAGCTGAATATAGGCACTGTATCTTTGGTTGCTACGCTCTACAAGCGAAAGATCTTACCACAGATAGCGCTCCCGGAATGCTCTCCTTTTGGGAGATTTTGCTTTGAAACGCTAGTGAAAAGGTAATTAAAAGGTGAAAGCCAAGGTATTACCCAATGACAAAAATGTCCTGTACTTTTAGTTACGCATTTTTTTTTTGTTTTCTGCATGTATACATTGTGCATATTCCAAACAAGGGATCAAAGAATAATCAAATTTTGTGTTATAAACAAAATTATGTGCGCGGATGCATCCCGAAATAAAATGTTCAGTCTCTCAGAGTCTCTGTAGAGAGACTCGAGCCTCCGTCTCTCATCGAGTTTCTCTGGTGTCGCTGAGAGAGACTGTCAAAAAAACTGTTTAGCGTCTCTGAACGAGACTCGAGTAGCTCATGGAGAGATCCTCATTTCGTATCCAGTCTCTGAACGAGAGACTCGAATCTCTGAACGATAGACTCGAATCTCTCAATAAGTGGTGTCTCGATAGACATAGTTAAAAGTTCAAGATATTTCAGAGATCCCAGTCTTTCTACGAGAGACTCGAGTCTCTCAATTTTTCAGTTTTATTCATTCAGTCTCTCTATGAGAGACTCGAATCTTTGAATTAACAATTTTATCGTTCGAGTCTCTCATACAGAGACTGTGAGAGATCCATACAAACACCTAGGCAATAACTGAGAGACTGTGAAAGACTGTGAGAGACGCTGAAAGACTCTGAGAGACTGTAGAGACTGAAAATTTTTGTGTAGAAATTGTAAATGTTGACTGTAGCATATGGTGATACTACCTTGGACCGAAGCAACGTTTATCAATCGTACAAAATGTTTTCAGAGGGCCGAGAAGATGAGAATGAAATTCGTACCAAAATTGCTCAATTTCGACCAAAAACAGCATCGCATTAACATTGCTAAGTAAGGAGCTGTTGGACTCTGTCCGCGACGACCCAAATTTTCTCATAACAGGGTCATAACTGGTGACGAAGCATGGGATTGTGATTATGACGTGGAAACCAAAGCTCAAACATCCCAATGGAAGCTGCCGCACGAGCCAAGACCGAAAAAGGCGCTCCAAGTTAGGTCGAATGTGAAGGTTTTGCTTATAGTTTTCTTCGATTGCAGGGGCATGAGTTCTTACCACAGGGGAGAACGGTCAAAAAGGAATATTACCTGCAAGTTATGAGCAATTTACGCGAAATAATCCGCCA